AAAGTTGTTTTCCCATCTAGAAAATTGTTCACAGTTCTAATTAAGTCAAGATTATTAAATATTATTAATATTTTAATCTCAACCGTTAAATTCTGACATTAATTTTTCGTTTCGAGATAAGTATACTGAATTCCAATTTTAATTAATGTATTTCATATTCTATTCTGAGGAAGGCTTGAAATAAGTAAGTTACTTTAATATTAATTAATATTAATTAGATTAATTAATTTCTCGAAGAGTAATAAATACGTTTACCGTATGGATATTTCAATTAGTTTAAGAGAAATTCAATTTTCAATTTTCAATGCCAGAAAGACTATATTAATCATTTATTTTGCAATAGAGGAACTGAATACCATATCAATTAATTAATTTTTTCATTTAATCGTTTAAATACAGAATTAATCGGAAGTCGTTTTTTCGGACACATACGAAATGACCTTAAAACAGCATTAGATGACTTTGAACGACCTTCGGATACCGAACAATCTAGGTCAATGTATTCCCCTTGGTAAGCGTTATCCGATTACGGAAATAAAACTATACAGTTCCATTAAAAAAACTCAAGGTCACCTTGAAATCTCGGAAGCACGACCACCCAGTAAAAATTTGCGACCACCGTAAGATCTCCCGTATGAAACAGAACAAGTTTCATTGGAAGCATTTTTCGATACGAACTACAGTTTCGTAGATAACAGCGCGCGCCAAAATGGAACAACCTGTACAACACGTGGACGGCGGAAGGAAAACGGGCGTCGGGCGACGACATCCTTGAGTCGCTAATGCCTGGCATTCGCAGCTATCGAAGCACCCGAAGCACTAAATACTTTATCGAGCGATAAAGCCCGTTTCAGTGAACGACCCCTAATTACAGAAGCCGGTAAACCCTCTTTATAGACCGGCTGTACACCGATGGTCGATTATGAAAGGCGATAAGAATAATCTCCCGTGGAAGTCGTGAAAAGTTTAACGATCCGATAAACCCGAAAGAAAAGCAGGTACACGTGATCACGAGCCGCGCAACGCTTGCGAGGCTTCCCGTCGGTTGACGAGCAAAAATTGGGGTAGTTGTTCACACTTTAAGGGGATGGTTTCGATGCCGGTGACCTTTGATCGCGTGCCGCCAAACGACGTCAATTGTGAACGATATTTTTCTCTGTTAATCGCCGTCACGTAAACGTCAAGTTGTAAGTATAGGTTAGGTCTGGGTTAGGTCTGAGTTAGGTCTGAACTAGGTTCGAATTAAGTGCAATTTATGCGAAAGTTTCGTCTTGGTTAGATCTCACAATCATTACTCCTAAAATGATCCCAGTCACGTGGAGGGCTTATCCAGACCTAAGCTAGACCTAACCTAGAACTAACTTTTTTAAGGTTAAGGAAACGTTGCTGAAAATGACGTTGAGAAGACATTTCCGGATCATTAAATTCCGTGCTCGTTGGATTCGGTATATTTTAGGTCCCGGTTAGATCAAAGTTAGGTCTACGTTAGGCCTGGGTTAGGCCCGCAGTTTATCGCGAATATCTCGGAAACTATAGCCCGCCGGAAATTGCTGCAAAGGAGAAGTTTGCTCGAAATGGCGTTCCCTATGACATACCGCAGTGCCATGAAAATTGGAGGAAAAAAAATCCTTCTGTCAAAGGGTTGCGTCGCGGAACTCGGAACGCCGCGCCGTCACGCAACGTCTCGGCACGCGTCGCGGCTTTCGCTGCGCTAAATACCGTGCCCGCGAAGAGACCGAGGAAAGTTCCGCATTTCCGTTTCGCAGGCGCCAACATCATTAAAACTTTATCAATGACGGCGAACGCCGACGCGACGCGGCCGCTTCTGCCTCCCGCTCGGCGGGCATGCGTGGTCGGGCCTGGCTACTCGCGCGGCAAAGTCTAATTATTGATCACCGGGGCGCCCCGCTGGCACGTGAAACAGGCCTTTTTTTTGTTTCCCGGAAGTGTCCGTGAGGACACGGGACGCGTGTGTGCGGCTGCCGCGCCGATATCGCCGCGAGTGTATCGATAACGGGGCTGCCGGTGCGCTCGGCCCTCCAGGCGGCTGCCGCGACGAAAGCCATACCCTCTCGCCTAATCTTCGCACCGTCAACGATGTTTTCATGCAAAACAAATGTCCGTGCCATGCGCGAAACGCAAAAACAACGCCGATGGAATCCTTTTTTTATAATTGTTTCTTTTTACTTGAAAATCGTATGACAATATTTTTGAATCATTTCAGTGTCTTTGAAATATTTTTGATTAATTTTAAAGTCTTATCTTTAACTACAAAACTGATGTTTTTTAAGCGTGTGGATTTTTATCGATTTCTATTATCGTTTTTATAAAAATATATATTATTCTGTTTTATGTTTCTTTATATTATTTATATTATATTATATGTTGTGTGTATTATATATTATATTATATATTGTATTACATATTATGTTATATATTGTATATTACATTATTTATATTACTGATATAAATTACTAACTCTTGTCACCGAAATTTTTTAAACAAATATTACTTTCGGAACCTCATCAGACTTGAAAAATTAATTGAACACCGTGTTCCCCTTAAATGAATTTCAATTTCACGATTCATTAGAAGCCATAATAATACTAATACATCTAAAGAGACAGCTGTGCGTCAGAAAATATGTTGGACAAAATGACGAACAATCTTCGAGGGTGAAAACGTGACACGTGACACTGCTCATCCCGCGGCAGAGTTTCCGAAGGGTCGGGAAAGTTTCGACGAATTTCTCTCTTCGGAAGATGTTGAAGGATCACCGTGTTCCCGGGCGAAGTCCTCGGAAGTCCCACAAGGACAGCCGAGATCTTGTCAGTCGTCCTTCGAAGTCCTTTCGAATTTTCCGGAAGAAAAACCTAATCTCTTCGTCCTTCGTACTTCGGAACTTCGTTGAAACTCGTTTGAACATTTGTATTCCAGAGAAGTTAATCGAAGAAGTCGTAATTCCGAAATAATTCGTTGTAATAAATAATGATAGTAAATGTTGAAAAGTAAAATTATTTTTAGCAGTATTTGTTAATTATACGTATTAATCAGTAATAAAATAAAAATAAAAAAAGACTAGCAACAACCGCAAGAAACAGAAACAAAATAGAAAGATCTTCCTCTATTTAATAATTTCAATAGATTAAAAATAATGCGTTGACATCTTGACATTCTTTTAACTTTTGTATTAATTCTAAATTGCAACAACTCAATTGTGCCATAAATGCGTGAAATCCGCGGTCTAATAATAAGTCAATTCCCAATTTATACAAGGATTACCCAGGCATTCCCAATTTATAAAGGAGAAATTGAATTCGGAAATGGGTTCCCGAGGTCATTTGGAGCAACTTTTTCCTTAGCGAAAATCTTCTACGAGGCTCCGTTTACGAGATATTAACGAAAATCGCAGACGAATGAGAGCTCGGCACGGCTGGCGCCCCGCCCACGCGACCACAGCCGCTGCGTCAGACGGCTGACGCGACGCGGCATTGTCCGCGAGGGCGAAGCGCCGGCTGCCACGCTCTCCGATTGGTCACTGTTTTTCGCGAATAACTCGTAAACGAAGCCTCGGAGACAAATTTTGTAAAGGAAAAAGTTACTCCAAATGACCTGAGGAATCAGCCCTTGCCATTCGTTGACATAATTACGGGACATCCTGTACGCAGCGTTTTATAAAACCTACGTTACGTTATTTATCGACCAGCCGCGTGATATTTCGCTGCAATCAAGTCGATCCATATTTATGAACGCGAGCCGACGATAAGGCGAATATAAGAAGAAGCCACGGACCCCGTCGTCGCGGTTGTTTTAACGTCGTGCGCGGCACAAAGATCGCTTCTTTGACGGAGCGATGTTTTTATTCGGGGAAACGAAACACGAAGTTCCATTGAAGAAGACAACGGGCGACAAGTCGCGTTCCACCGTGTTATGAGAGAGCCTATTGTTTATTCAGAGCAACCGGCCCTGGTTAAAACACCGCTGTTTCTTGCACGCTACTTCCTGCTGTCCTAATCATAGCGGTTCGCATAAATGTAAAGTGCAAATTGCGGTGGCGCGCGGCGTTGTACTGCTTGCTACCGGGTGCAAAAAAACAGCGTTACAACGAAACTCCGGGGCTTCCTGAACTCTCGAATTAGGAAACACGAGCTTCTATGATAAACTGAAACGTTCTCCCCGGTTCATGCTTGAACAACTGTTCCGGAATAAAATTTCTTGTGCGGCTTTACCAGCAGATTTTATCTTGAAATTAATTTTGGAAACCGATGCCGTTGGTTTCTCACGAATTGCTTAGGTTGGGATTAATTTACAGAGTAATTAATTTTACTCAGAAATAAATTTTACTCAGTGATTAATTGGACTCAGTAATTAATTTTACTCGGTGATTAATTTTACTCGGTGATTAATTTTACTCGGTAATTAATTTTACTCGGTGATTAATTTTACTCAGTAATTAATTTTGCTGATCTGTTAATTTTACCTAGTAATTAATTTTACTGAGCGATTCATTTTACTCAGTAATTAATTCCATTCACTAATTAATTTGACTGTGTAATCAATTTTTGTTAGTAATTAATTACTTTCAGTAATTAATTTTACTCAGCAATTAATTCCATTCAGTAATTAATTTTACTCAACAATTAATTCGATTCAGTAATTAATTTTACTGAGCAATTAATTCCATTCAGTAATTAATTTAACCCAAAAATTAATTCTACTTTGTAATTAATTTTATTCAGTAATTAACTCTAGTCAGTGATAGATTTACTTAGTAATTAATTTTACTCAGTAATTAACTTTACTCAGTGAATGATGTTACTCAGTAATTAATTTTTTTCACTGATTAATTTTACTCAGTAATTTTATTCAGTAATTTTACTTAGTAAATAATTTTACTCAATAATTAATTCCACTCAGTAATTAAATTGCAGATATTCAAAAAGGCGTCTATAAATAGACGGACACGACAGTTTATTAAGTACGTGACAACATCTACTCACTATGTTTCCGGCTGTGGGCTTGTAGGTACGCGGTAACAATGTCGCATTGTTTTTCTCGCTTGATGCTCAGATAATCCTTTCGCCGCAGCTGGCGGATCAGCAGACCGCCTGTATGATTGATATGGTCGCGTAAATTCCGTATGAGAATCTGCAGCTCGCTTTTGCCTGTGAAATGGGAAGCCACGCTTTATTAATGAATATTTTCGGAAAATGATACGACAATGCAACCGTCTAACTAAATTCCAGACTTCTCAGTTTTGTACATTTTTGTCGATAATTCGTAGAAATCCACAGTGTCAACACATTGTCGTGTAAAAAGTAGAATATATTGCAGACTCTGAAGAATTGTCTGTTCACAGCGAAAAAATTCTGTATACAGTTTTATCAAAAATTCATAAAAATCCATAACACCATTTAAAAATTACAATATTTTACCTAGAGGCTCCGAAAAAATTCTCAATTTATACTAAAAAAAGTGTTGTAAAAAAACGTCTTCCCAGTTTTCCATTTTACCTGTTTATTTTTATCAAAAATTTCATAAAAATCCACAGCGCCATTTAAAAATTACAATATTTAACCTAGAGGCTCCAAACAAATCTTTAATTTACACTAAAAAAATTGTAAAAATATCTTCCAATTTCCTATTTCACCTATATTAATAAAACAAGAATAATATCTTGATCTCTGATCCTCTAAAAAAATATCAACACCACCTCAAGCATGAAAAATTGAATTTTGGCCACATAAAGCACGCTTTCAGACCGCAGTATGTGACCAGGATTTTGGCAGAACGTGTTGGAGGGCGTAGGAACGAGAAGGTCGACGGACAGTCGAAGCAAACAGCGTTCCCGTCGGCACCAGGCGGGATCCAAAATGCAACGAGCGCGCACGGAGCAGCAGATTGCGGCCGACACTTTGAAATTGAGGGGAGCGCGTTCAGCCGAGGCTGGATTGTGCGAGGCAAGGCGGGACAAGGCGGGACACGGCGGCGCGGAGTCCGTGAATTGAAGCCGCAATCTTGATAACGGCCCGAAAGGGCTCTCCCTGTGCACACACTCGGCCCAAGATTGCAGTTTTTCCCGAGTCTTCTCGCTGTTAACCGCGGCCCCGGACCGCGCCGGCCATTTTCCTTTGATCATGCTGAACACAGGGCTCCTCGGATGCCTCGGAATCGCGCGGCAAGGCCGCCTAAGCCCGCCTTAACTAACTTGAATTACGTTAACTTCCGCGTTAAAATTTAAATTGGAGAACTCCGCGGAACGGTGCGCCGTCGCAGCGAATATAAAACCGCGGCGAAGGTGCCTTTCGAAGGGAGCCGGCCGTTCCGCATCGCGTATTCATATCGGCACGGCGGCATGCTCCCGAAACTTTGTCTTCGGGCAGCAGAATTCAATGGACTTCGAGCTGCGAATGCGAGCGTCGCGTTGCGTCCGCTGTCGGCTGGAATGTGACGTCACCGGCGCTCGGATCGCATGGCGTCACCGGAGCGTGGGTCACGTGACGTCACCGGCGCTCGGATCGCGTGGCGTCACCGGCGCTCGGATCACGTGACGCCAGGTCCCGCGACCGCTAAACCTTCCCCCACTCGCTACGCCTCGCGCGAGCCGAGCGCCGGTGACGTCACGTTCCGGCCGGCAGCCCGTAGGGAGCGCTATGAAATCTAATTCGCTGGTGTTTCTTTGAGTTTTATTGTTATAAATATTTCACTGAAATGGAAGAATTTAACACTAAACCTACCAAGCCGGTCAAAATGACCGGTTTTACATTTTGTATTTTAAAATTGCTGAAATTATAGAGACTTTTTCATAGGAAATTATTAAATGAATTTCACAGTCCGAGTATTCGTTGTAATAAAAATTATGGGAAGTCTAAATAGATTCGGTTTTATCGTTCTTACAGAGCAACAAAAATTCGTTGCTTTTAGTGCTCGGTAGGTTTAGTGTTAATGGGAGAAAAGTCTGCTTTTTAGACTGTGTTTGTGACTTTATAGGTCACTGATTCAACGATGCTAGAGAAAACGAAAGAGGAATTATTTAAAAATAATTTAATAACGATTCCAAATTGTTAAATAATTTTAGATAGAATTGTTTGCAAATAATGTTATAATTTGGAGGACCGTTTATGGTTTCAGTGTTCGTGTAATGCGATGTGACGGTGTTAGAGAAAACAAGAGAGAAATTGTTTAAAAATAATTTAATAACAATTCCAAATTGTTAAATAATTTTAAATAGAATTGTTTGCAAATAATGCTACAATTTGGAGGATCGTTTGTGGTTTCAGTGTTCGTGTAATGCGACGTGACAATGATAGAGAAAACGAGAGAGAAATTGTTTAAAAATAATACAATAACAATTTCAAATTATTAAATAATTTTAAATAGAATT